TTTTATTTTATTATTTTATAATATAATTACCAAATGCCAGAGGTAAACCATGACCAGCTCCATTTTCAAGAACAATTAATAATACTGGAGCTCAATCTACATTTAAATCATATTTTCCATCAATACCAATGCAAATATTTCCATGATCATGTCTATTTTTAAGCCAAAATTCATCAGAAAAAGTTAGTTGATAATATCGATCAGATGATTCAATTGGCTGATCTAAATCTGGTGTCTGATAATATAATATATTTCCTTGCGATTTTAATAATTCATTAACCAAATTATTAAGTTGTGTCCATGATCCAGTATTATCTTTAAATTTTCTATCATCTCTTATAATAAGTCTTCGAAGTTTATCATTATCATAAATTTCATGCTGACTTGCTAATACTTTACTAATTATTCTTCTGATGCACCATTAAATGAAGTTAATAATTTAGCTTTTATTCCTTTAGCTGTTCTGTGATCTGCTCTTCTACTTAAAGCAATTGAATCTCTAATAGAATAAGTTAGATTAATTCGAGAAATTTTAGGAATAATATTATTAAACATATGTTAAGATGGATGATGAGTTTCTTGAATAGTAATGCGTAGTGGAGTTTCTGAATTTAACCACAATAATTGACATTCAGAAATAACTCTAACACTGCATAAATGCATATCATTTGCATTTTTTAGATTATTATGTAACAAATAATGATCACAAGTTTCTAAACATTTTCCAATTCCACTACATAAATGTTGACAAATATCCCCATCGTCAGAGCAGTATATTACCCAATACCAGCATTGCTGATCTTTCTCTATTCCTAAATTGATTTGTGAAACTAAATCTTCTCCTTTAGTAGTTAGAACTAATATATCATCTATTCTATTTGTAGATTTTTTAGTTCCAGTTGTGGTCCATTCTAAATAATCTATTGCTTCTTGTGTGTGTTCTATAATTAAAATACCATTTTTAACAAGTTTTAGAGTAACCTGCCTACTTTGGTTTTTTTAAACGATAATTTTGTAATAATAGTATATTAGCTAAGTATCATTCTGCAGTACAGCCAAAAGGTAAATTAACAGAATTATCATCATTATATATGATTTGTTTTTCATAAGTTTCATAAGTTTCCATTTTTTTTTTGTAAAAAAAAGTAAGAAAAAGAAAAGTTTTAGAACGCATTTTATATGACGTGATATAAATTATATATTAATTAGACTTTTGTATTATATTAGAGATCTATGAGCACATTTAACATTTTTAAAAGTTAGACGAATAATCAAAAAAGTCACAATTTTTTTCTGAATAATCAAAAAAATCACAATGATTTGTACAACTAACTTCTATAATCAAAAAACGCCATCTCCTTAATCAAAAATAAATCATTTGCATTGAAATTACATTGTGAAATAAATCTCTATACAGTACAAAAAAAACATGTTTGTTATATCCACAACTTTATGATAATATTCTTCTATGCTTGAAGTTATGAACTGCTGTTAAAAAAATATTTTAGAACAAAAGCTTAAAAAAACATGAAAAAGATGTGAAAGAGAGATTTATTATCGTACGTAATGGTAAACAGTAAACAAATAATTAATTAATGTGGCTGGGATCATGATGAACCAATCAAATTTGGAGGGTTCAGGTTAAAATCCTAGACCCCAAGGTCTACACCTCCCTAGGTCAGCGTAACCACCAAAAAATCGCCGTCACGTGATATATTTTGTCGATCTTATCCAAAATAGTTAGATTAATTTTTAACGAAAATTGTTTTTTTAAAATAAAACTTCACAAACTTTTTTCAGCATTTAAAAATTATACCACCCATAAGAATTATTATTACATGCTCTACTAATTTGCTTAGAGATAAAAAGGAGGTTTCAAACGCCTTTTTTGACTTTTATATTATAATAAAAGATAATTCCACTGAAAAAACAGTATTCATAATCACCATTTTCTTATTAAGTAAACTTGTAAAGAAGGCAAAATTACATATAGGATTCAATTTTGGAATTCGTATAGTACTTATCCTAGGTTTTATTTAAAAATAATAAAATAAAGAAAATTTTTCGTTAAGCAGTCTATTTTTGGAAATGATCAGCAGAAATTGATCACGGGACTGCGAATTTTTGATGGTTACGCTGGGGAAATCGTATTACCTGTGTTATCAGATGATTTGCCGTGTGATGCAACTCCCACTGGCATGCGCAGTTTCACAATATAAAAGGTGGAAATTTTGGATCAAGTGTGCAAATATTCATCTTGATCCCTATCAACCGCAAAAAAAAAAAAAAAAAAAAAAAATCGGCCAAAGATGAAATTTCAAATATTGAACGCAAATTTTCCAAAAACGGAAGAAGGGCGAGTTTACCACATGGAAGTCAAGAGAGGAGAAGGTACGCTTATCTTTTTTAATATCCTTGTAGGAAATTTACTTTACAAACATCCGACTATAATATATATACACACATGTATGTATATCAGTGGCGAATAGGATCATAACGGTTGGGGATACGAATCGAGCAAAGATGTTCATCCAATGGCTTGATAAAGATACTCCGGTATTTTACTTGGAATCTCAGAGAGGTTTTACTACCGTAACCGGAAAATATCATGGTGTTCCCATATCAATTGTGGGAATCGGGATGGTGAGTGTTCCAAACCCTATATCACGTGTTTCGTAACCTTTATTGACTCGTAATCATTGATTTAGGGTCTCTCCATGATGGATTTTTTCATCAGGGAAGTGAGATCAACCGTGGATGGACAATTGGCCATCATAAGATTTGGATCATGTGGCACAATAGGGGCGCCTAAGGTTGGAAACATGATTATTCCAAGCGGTGCATTCGCGATTACGAGAAATTATAATTATTTTTCTAATGGTGAGGATGAAACGAGTTTGAATGGGGAAAAGCCATACAATTTCACAAAAGCTTTTTACGCGGATCCAATGTTATGCAAACAGATTGAAAAGCAATTGTTGAATTCTTTTGACGAGAAAGAGATTTTTACCGGACTGAACGCAACTTGTGACTCGTTTTATTCATCACAGGGGCGTCAAGACGAAAATTTTCGTGATTGTAATTCCGACATTTTTAAAACGATAACCGCAACTTATCCAAACACCGTTTCATTGGAAATGGAGTCATTTATGTTATATCATTTGGCAAGTTCAAGCACATCGGCACCATTAAAGAATTCAAATAGGGTGTCTGATAAAGGTAATAGCATTAAAGCGGCGGCTACTATGATGGTATTTGCTGATAGATTTAGAAATGAATTCATTAGTCCTGAAAAAGTTCAAGAAGTGCAAGTTATTGCTGGTTTGGCTGTGTTAGATGCCTTGGTTGAAACAGAGTTAAGTGAGGTTCATCCTGAAAGCGAAGAATGCGTTTGGAATACGAATACGTCATTTAATACCTTCACTTTGCGTCGGGAATAATGAATTTTTTTTCATCAAGTGTTATAATTTATATGATTCTTTTACTTCGCTTAATATTATTATATGTAAGATTACAAATAAATTAATGTACAATCAACCGCTTAATAAATAATAAAAATATTAAAAATATTGTACAATAAAAAATAACATTATTTCATTGATTAAATATTTTTTAACACGGATAAGGGAAGGGGTTAAAACGACATGACGCAAAAAAACTAATAGTTCGTAAAGGAAATAACAAAGATTGATTATAGCGGTTGAGATATCACTGAGGATACACGTATTCACCCTTTTGGTATGGATAGTGATGCAATTTAACATTAAACCGCCAAATTAGGAAACAAAAGTAGCACTGCAAGAAAAAAAAAAAAAATAGAAAAAAAATAAAAGTGATTTAGATACTTTTTTTTTTTAAAAGGAAAAAAGATTCTGAAACTTACCATTAATATAAAATCAATTACAAAAGCGAAAGCAAAAGTAGTACCCACGGATTCAACACCAACTCTACAAAATCCATTTGGTAATCTTGGATTATCTTTTAAGGCAGGAGGAGGTTTAAAATCTGGATCATTATTATGTGCGTCCGCCCATTTCACTCCTCCATTATTACATTCCCATTCAATCCTATCTTTAAAATGGTTTAATTCCCATGTCATTACACCTGCTCTAACCGCTCCTAATAATATTATTAAAGGATATATAAAGAGGAGAAATCTAGAAATAACGTATGATCGCGACGAAAACCCAATTAATGCCATTCCTGCTAAGGCACCTTGTGCCATTGCGTAACCACCGTAAAGGGATGCTTCTGGATATATTGTAAAGTAAAAATCTCCATATAAAAATAAAAAAATGCCACCTCCGATTTGATATAACTAATAACACGTACGTTAGAAAATGTTTAATTGATTTAAGCATATTTGAGCATATGAAAGACATTTCAGAGACTTACCGCCATTAGCAAAGAAAGAGCTATGGCTCCGGCTCGTAACGGAAATATTAATAAACAATTATCGCACCACATTATTGTAAATTTCTTTGTAACGTAAGAGGTTCGGTTAACTTACTTAAAACCAAACAAATAAAAAAAATTTCTGGTTTATGTTAACGTTATTATATTTACACTGGTGGTTAGGCAAAGAGAATCGTTCAATAAATAGATGTTAGGAATCTTATTTATTGAGCCAAAAGGTTCATTAATCAAGGGGACTATCATTAGAGAATCTGAAAAAAAATTCTCAAAAAGGATTTTACATTTAAATTTTTTTCTCTCCCCGACTATTTTTATATCCGATTTACAAATTACTTTACTTGGTAAAAGCAAAAGAAATCTCACCCTTTACCCCTATTATTTCTTTCCAAATTTGGAGTGCATATGGTCAAATATGACTTCATGTTTAAAATTATCCTGTGGTGTAATTAACTACGCGTATTTCGATGTAATGTTGTTAATTCGATATAGTGAAATTCTTGTCATTTTTATTTCAATTATATTTGAAATGATCCCTTAAATGAATGTTATTTTATATAATATATTTTACATTTTCGTATGATGGAATTTAAAAGCCACATGATAAAAAAGATATATGGGCGGAAAGGGTTTCTAGGAAAATCGGGTTCTGGGAATTTATTTGAAGTTACTAGATTAAAATGTAATAAAGTGAAAAATAATTTTCTCACCACTCCCTTTTTAATTAGGTACATTCATCTATTTTACATTTCTTTATATAATTGTTTCTTATTAAGTTTTTATTTTATTGTATATTAGAGTGTTTTGGACTCATTTGATGCTTATTTTTACAATTATTGTTGAGATGATTTCTTTTGGAAGGCAATTCGAGCGCAATACCAAATACAATATTTACAGTATATGGTCCTTTAAAGAATAGGATTTTAAAAAGATATTTATGGCGTAGTAAATAAGAAATCCTCGGACATGTGACATTTGACTACCCTTAACCCTAACCCTAATTCTAACCGTGACAATTAGATAAGTGACAAATCAAGAATAAATAGTAAAAACAGGGGCGTGATAATATGTGACAAATATATTATCATATGAATTTATTAGAGAATTATGCTTCCAACCTGCTTTCAAAGGGTGCTTCCAATCTTCCAAGTGCAAATCCCTGTAATCGCGTGTCCGAGGATTTCTTGGGGATGGTCGGAACTATTTAAATCATATGATCATCATGTAATTTTTTCGTTGCAAATATTATGTTCTTTTTTTTTGCGGTATGTATAATAATAATCCGAATCCAGATCAAAAGTTGCAAAAATACATACTAAAGATCGGTACCTCACATAACGTAGACTTTTTTATTTTGAAATTTATCTTGAAATATACACTTTTAATCAACAAAAAAGAAAGAAAAAATGTACATCTTTAATATATTGAATTTATAAATTTACATTCTTATTATATTTTCTATGAAATTCATTATTAAACATGATCCGAATCATATTTCGCTTTAGCAACTTCAATTAATTCGGTAAATTCCCCACTTCTTTCACACATAGATCTAAATAATGAATCGGAATCTCGTATTAATGAATAAGGATGGTCGAATTCAACAACTCTTCCACCATCTGAGATAAAAACGAGTAACAATTAGTATGTTAGCCATCAGAAACAACATCTTTTATAAAATAAGTTGAGACTTACCTAAAACCAAAATCTTATCATAGTCAACAACAGTTCTTAATCGATGAGCAATACATAATAAAGTGGAATCTTTAAATTCTGTTCTAATAGTTTCTTGAATCATTTTATCGGTTTTAAAATCTACACTAGCCGTCGCTTCATCCATAATGATTACCTTTGACCTACGTGCTAGAGCCCTAGCCAATGCAATAAGTTGCCTTTGACCTTGCGAAAAATTACTTCCATTTTCATTTACAAGTGCATCAAGACTCCAATTAAATTGATTTTTTGGTTCATTTGTATTGTCCTCATCTTTATCTTCAATAATCTCTGGTGTTACCGTTCTAGAAGTCGATTGTGATGATGGTGATTTATCCTCGTCAATTAAATGCGCTCTCCTAATCGCATTCCATAAATCAACATCATTGTGCACACCGAAAGGATCAAGATTACTCCTACATGATTAAGCGATTTATAAATATCTATATTAAAATTAAAATAACATAAATAACATATATTCCTACCTTAAGGTACCACTAAATAATACTGGATCTTGAGGAATTATAGTCAATCTACTTCTTAGATCAAAAAGACCAATCGTTGAAATATCAACCCCGTCAATGACAATTTGTCCAGATGTAGGTTCCATAAATCTAAAAAATGATACGGCCAATGTTGATTTGCCAGATCCTAAATATTTATTATAATGGTTAGACAAATTCTAAATAATAATTAACAAAGAATTTATTGAAATTAAAAAAGGGATTATTCCATACCTGTCCTTCCAACTATTCCAACTTTCTCTGATGGTTTAATCTGAAATGACACATCTTTCAACACTGGTGGATTGTCTGGTGCGTATTGCATTATAAGATTATTCACTTTGATTTCCCCTCGGAAAGGCCATTCAGGAGGTGGACGAAAACCCTCGATTATTCTCGCAGGTTCTTCCATCAAATTCATATATTCATAGACTCTTTCAACTAAAAAAATAAAATGAATAATAATTAATCATCATTTAAAATAAATAAATAAAATATATTATTATGCTCACCAGAATTCATATTCATCTCTTGCATAGCGTACATTCTCAGTACCCAGATTATGTGGCCGGTAAAATTTAATGCATAAGCAAGCGCAAAACCCGCTAGTCCTGGATCCATCCCTTTAGATATTTGATATATAATAATGATTCCAGTAGCAAAACTAACTAATCCTCCCGCCAAATCCACGCGTGTGTGAAGCCATCGATTACATGCCCAATTATATATGAATGGCCGATTATTTCCATCCACAAGGGAAAGCATTTTTTTCATTAATTTATTCTCTGCGCCAAACGCTCTTATGGTTGAGACACCAACGATCGTCTAAAAATCATAAAAGAGACATTAAATAAGATCATCAAGATTTAAACGTATCATAAAATAAATGCGAATGTTACAAACCTCTCCAAATGATGCATATATAGGGGATCGTGTAACTGACTCAATACCTAAAATTATATAATATGAGTTTAATTTAACTTTCCTACTAACTTAATCAGAATAACTTAAAATTGCCGACTTACGTTTAAGGTCTCTTGACGTTGCAAGATAATATGCTCCAATAAATACATACAAGGCAGTAATGAAAATACCGGCTATCAAGAATTGAGGCATCACTGTAGAAATAGCAAATATGACTGAAGCAGTTGCTACACAAGAGTAAATGAGGAACAGTGCCATAGGTGACAAAGTTTGATCAATTACTTCCATATCTTTGGAAAATCGATTCAATATGCGTCCTTTTGTTACAATAAATACAGAGATGTTTAATTATAAACATTATATAATTAATAACACGGTAGCTAAAGGAATGAGCGAATAAATACCAATGGGTGTTGTATCAAAAAATCTTAATTTTGCTTTCAACACCTTATCCAAAATTGCAGAATGTAATTTTCTTGAAGCAACCAATGAACCCATAAACATCCAATAAGTTCTTAATGATCCTAATAACGTTGTTAACAATCCTATAAGAATATAGATACCAAGATAATAATCTACATTAACTCCATTTTTTCTTTGTTCTAAATTTATAGTTGGCTGTGAGAATGCATTATCAGTTGAAGACGGAGAAATATTTGATGATGGGTAAATGGACAAAATATTATAAATATTTTGACTAGTGAATGTAAAAGACCAAGAGGTAATTATGGATGATAATGCAGACGCAACATTATAAATTTGATCGTGAATAACACTATAAGCATTAGTCCATTCTCTAATCCACCAATCTGTTAAAATAAATAAATAAATAAGTATAAATACTTTGTTTCGAAAATATATAAATATAAATAGCTATTAATAAAAATAATTACCCTGTCCAACTTGCAAGGCTTGTGTAGCAACAAACATAAATATCAAAAATGACCAAAATAAGAATCCACCTGAGGATTTAAAATAAATCTTGTATATCTTCCAATCGACAACACCCTCGGCCTTTTCTTCTTCAGTCATTAATTTACCATCACCTTCTCCGATTGTTTTCTGGGGTTTTGAAGACTTTAACTCTTCGGATATATCTGTATTTTTTTGTTCCTCCCTTTCTTCCAAAGAAATTTCTTCCAATATTCCTTTAGATAATACTTCACTCGGAGTCCCTTGACCAATTATGCGACCATTTTTCATCACAACAACTTTGGAGGAACCACGAAGACAAAGTCCTACGTGGTGTGTGACTAAAATACGCGTTCGACCTTCCATAATATCTCCCAATAAACACTTTTCATATATATGTTTTGCCGTATGAGAATCAACGGCTATATCATATAATAAAACTTAGAATATGACCTTTTTAATATGAAAGTATTTGTTAAATGTAAATACCTGATAAACAATCATCCATGATGATAATTTTTGCTTGAGAATAAACAGCTCTAGCTAATGCAATGCGCTGTTTCTGACCACCAGAGAGAGTAATTCCTTTCTCTCCTATTTCAGTTTTATCTCCAAATTCAAATATCTCCAAATCCTTATTTAGCGCACACGTATTCAATACTTTATTATAACGATCCTCGTCGAAAGGAAGACCAAATAGAATGTTGTCCTTAATTGTAGCATTTTGAAGCCATGCTAGAATGCACAAATATTAAATAATTTTCTTATTAAGGAAAAATTTAAAGACTTATTTGATTACCTGTTTGTGCCACATAAGCTATTCCACTAGGGGCACCTCCCATATCCTTGGATGAAACTTCTCTGGGCAAAAATACTTGACCACTTATGCATTCCAGTTCCCCTAGTAAAGCCATCAATAAACTTGTTTTTCCACTTCCAGTAGGTCCGCAAATTATCGAAAGCTCACCAACGGGAAATTCGATATTCATATCAAACAAGGTAAATTTATTAACGGAATTTTGGTTGCTATTAACACTAGAGTCATTGGTTGTTGAAGCAGTACCATCGAACCATTGAAATGATGCACTTTTAAATCCGATTTTAGGATCATTACTATTTGGTTGACTATTCATACGCTTAAGTTCGGGTTCAATAAGGAATTTTTCAACACGTTCTATGGAAACGCGAGCTAAATATATAGAATAGAAATGTGTCATTTACACAAATGAATTAAATGAACTATAAATTGTATAGAGATTCAAAAAAAAAAAAAAATACCTTGAATAATGGCAACAATCGTTGAAGGTCCTTCGTCAAGAGCATGACGAAGGTTGTTAAAGAGGGCAAGAGCTGTAAACGCTACAGTTGCCGTTAATTCATTACCAAACAATTTTGTATAAGTCCAAAAAACTGAAAGCATAATAAAGAGTGGCAGACACATCCAAACATTTCCCATATAAACCCATTGCATCAAACGTGATTTAACTTCTTTGAGTTCATTTTCACGCGCACCAATAATTTTTTTGTAGAATTGATCTTCCCAAGCAAAAAATTTGATTATTCTAATTGCTTGAAGTAGCTATAAGAAAAAAAAATAAGTATATATGATCAAACTATTTTAAATAACTCGGAAATAAATTTTTAAATGGTGCAAACCTCATTCATCAAACCCATGCGTTTGTCTGTTGCCTTCATCAGACGCTTATGAATAGTTTCGAAACGTTGATTTATTAAGGCAGGGAGTGGATAAGTAATAATAATGGTCAATACGCCCATAAGGGCGCTGACTCCAAGTAGTAAATATAATAATAATATAGATATTATAATCTGCAAAGGAAAACAATATACTAAATAATAATAAGGGTAATATTAGAAAAAAAATCATTAAAAATAGCAATGGTTATTATATTAATCATTTAAAGCAACTCACTATAAAATAGATAAGCTATAACTTCTGATACTTTAGTCGCATCAACGGACATTAAATTGGTAATTTTTCCAGTTTTATCCTTCGTTTCTTCATCATCTATTACCCCGGTTGTATCTTTCCTGGAGAGAGATTTTGAATAAATTTCACCAATTATTATTGCCTAAGAATTATAAACAAATAAATATTAAAATTTTTAACATCAAATTTTTAATTGAGAATTAATGCCCTACCTGAGTTTTAATTCCTAATTGCCGACCAATAAACAATGCTTGTTGAAAACATAAACTTGGTACGACAGAGCCAAGAAATAATCCTATAACATAAAGATAAGCCGTAACTTGGGTTTCATCTCCATTATTAGGGTAATTTTGTACAAAGAGCAAGATTTTACGTAGAAAAAATGGAGGTGCAAATGTGGTAAGAACCGACCAACTAATGGAGTAAAAGAATTGAACACAAAGCTCTTTTCTGAAGGTGTATAACATAGATCTAAGGAAAGATTGTTTTCTATGAAGACGAAAATCTTTTAAAACATTTGATGCTCGAACAAAATTGGGCATTTCATAAACATCCTTTTCATTTAGGGTTTTTCGAAATCCTTTTGTTAATAAAGGATTTATCCATGAAAACATAAATTGGTCATATAAAGAGCATTTTACTTCAGGCGATAAATATCGACCCTTATCAAGAATAAAAAGCAGTCAGAAATAAAATATTAAGCAAAGCTTTATTTTGTATAAAACTCAAATCAAATCAAATAGTAAGTTTGGCACTCCCAAAAATCCAATACCTCTGAATTAGGCTTTAATAACAATCCTTCAGGATCATCTTCCGGTTCCATTATAGAAATCATAACCAATATAAAAGAAATGATTAGTGTCCAAAGTCCAAAAGAATAATCGATATTGATTTTTGTACCATATTGCAAATAAAATGAATGAATATTGATTATTGACGATACGAAAGTGATAAAATAAAGGATGTCTAGATGTTTGCGTAAATAAAATTGATTACGATACTGAGATTTGAGATTTATATAGGCTAGCAAAGATGCATACGACTAAAAGTAAATAATTTAATTGAATTTAATTTAATATTATTTAAAATTAAATAAATTCATTTAAATTCAGAATATAAATTGCTCACCCAAATCAATCCTTCAATAATTGGAGAAGTTATCAAATAAAGCCCTTGTTTATTTTCATCATATTCACGCCATCGGAAAATCACAAAGAAACAAAATAACGTAAACATAGACATTCCAAATAATAATCGGCACCAGTCGAACATTTTATTTTTTGGAAATTCATTTGTTAAAAGTGTTGATTCCGAATCGGCATCATTTGTAATACTTGTCTCTTCTGAATCAACCGATCCAATCGAACCATAAGATGAATTGGTTTGCCCAGAAATCAAAGGCTCGTAAATCGGACTTTTTTGACGCTTATATTTAACATAAGCTAGTATAAGAATACATTTTGACCCGATAGTGTACAATAACGGTATTCCCGCATCAATAACTCTAATTTAAAAAAAAGTTAATAATAATATTATAATATCACGTATTTTCTTATAAAAAAGAAAAAGACTCACGCTTCTCGGAAGCAGTTTGTAAAATCGTAATTTTTCCATGGTCCCTGTATAATAGCACATTGTAGAACAAAATTATAAGATATCTGTTAATTTATCGCTGATTTTCTTCGTAAAACAACAAAAAAAGAAAAACTTCCTGAATTAAAAAAAATTATGAGTATCATGTACGACTCACCCATGAGTCCAATCCACAAAATCCTTGATAATCATCGGATCGATTTAAATTTGTATCCATATTTGAGATTTTGTCAATAAATCTGACAATATCCGGTCCGGTATATCAAGTATAATTTTTTGACTTTCTATCGATCTTGTAAATCTCGTAAATACCGTGTGCGAATTTGAAAAGCAAAAGGTTATTTATTTATATCTAAAAATTTTGAGTCAAACTGTATTTGGCTATACTTTTCTTTATTAATATAGTCAAAGAAGCGCGATCATCAATTATGCATTTGATTGTGTAAATAGGAAACTTTCATTGATCAGAGATAAGATAACGATTGACTAATTCCGATATAGTAAATTTGTAAGAAACGGAACTTTTAGAGATTACATGGCGTTATATATAAGTTTTTTGTTTGATGGCGCAGTAAAAATGGTATCACAACCTTTGTACGAGATGAATAAGTTTACGAACAAATAAATATCTAAAAATAGAAATTTGTCATAAAAAATAGTCTATAAAAAGGTTAAAAAGATCGTGTCATTCTTGAAACTTGATTTTTCAATTACAGGCTTTCCGCGTTGATATCTGTTGATATATATATATACTTATGAAATGTTTTTTTTTTGATTTTTATCAACTTTTTTTCCACATCATCTCATTATCCGTAGATCTTTACCTTTTTCTTGATTCATCAGTTATAAAAAATCAAAATAAAAAAAAAAATGTTTTGTAGTTTAGAACAATTTAAGCATATTTTCGAAACTTTATTATTTCAGACTGATGAAGATAGTGGTGTGGTTTTATTTGATTGTTCCGTAAGATTATATTGTTATGCTGATATTGATTCAATGTGTGCTGCTGAAATATTGAAAGTAAGAAAACTTTTCTGTATGTGTCATTGATTTGATCTAATCTTTTAATTTGTCTTACTTTTTTAAAGAAATTATTTTTCCAAGAACACGTCATTTGGACCTTAAAACCAATAAGAACTTACGATGACTTTGATAGAAGGGATTTTAAACCAAGTCCAGATACGAAATCGGTAATTCTTTGTCTGATATTTCGGTTTCGAATTTGTACGATTAGTTTAGTTTTTATTCATGTCTTTCGTGACTTTTTGATATTGAAGAAATTTTCTCCATATTATCTAAATAATCATATTATCAACTTATGGATTGACTCAAATAAATGAATAAATAATTAGTTACGAGCTATAATTTTATTGAATTTTGGATCAAACTTGGAGCTTGCCAGAGAGTTTGATCTAACAGACAATCCGCACGTAAATATTTATGTGATCGATAGTCTCCACCCAGTCAATTTGACAAACCTTTATGATAGAAATTCTAATGTGAGTTCAAGCGGGAAATCATACAATATTTTTCGTAATTGAGTCTAACATATTAATATTTGTAAAATGTTTATAGATATTTATTGTGTATGACGAAGAGTCATCGGAATATCCGGAATATATAACGAAGGTAATTTGGCTTACTTATTGACCTGGCTCACAAAAAACTTAATATATTCTTGCCATGTTAACTCATTAGTTTATAGGCTTTAAAGAAGGAAAGTGAAGAAGAGTTTCAATATAATTCCGTTTTTACAGATGATTTCGGACGTCCAATAACATTGGATGAGGTATAGTGTAATGATTAAATTTTCATATGGGATGATACGAATTTCTTTCTTGCTGATTCATATTGTTATTTATGTAGGCAGACAATATCGAAAAAGAACCTAAAAGACGTTATGGAACTTCAATTGCGTTAATGACGTATATGCTTGCTTCAAAACTTCTGCTCAAGGATAATAACATGTTATGGTGATTTTTTTTTTATGTTCCGTTACATTCTTATTCTACTACTTATTTATTATTTTATTTACGCTTTGCCCTTTTTTCTTAAAACAAGGCTAGCGATAATCGGTCACACGAGCTTATATATAACCAAGAGACTTCCTTTACTAGATTATAAAAATCATGTAGATACTTTAGATGCGGAAGTAAAAGAACTCAATGATTTATATATATCAAATCGTCTACATAGGCATAAAGCTGTGGCAAGCGAGGCAGACGATAAACGAATTATACCTATTTATGAATATCCTTTATTATTTATTATCATTATTCATTTTTTTTTTTTTAAAAAAAAAAAATCCTTGACCATTTAATATATTTACATATAATTGCGTATTAATGGGACATTGGACAGTATATGAAAGTATACTTAATTCAGAGTATACCATTACAAAAATGAAACTTAAGGAGAACCGGGGAGAAAATTTAGATAAGCTGTTAAGAAATATGGGGTAAGAAATTTGAGACTATTCCAACATGTTTTACCTTTTATTTAATTTATTTGATTTATATAGAATTTCGCAGAAAATGTCAAGGGAATATTTTCCCGCCATGGATGTTGAAGTTGCGAATCGCTTGGCTGAAATGATAAATTCCGAAGGACCAAAATATAAATTTGACATACCATTATATGATGGTTGGGCGAAATTCTATGGTTATAAACTTCCAACGTTCTCGGCAAGCGATGCTGTCTATGGGTTAATAACCTTACTGAAAACTAAACCATCTGCTTCAGTTGAATTTGGGGTTGAAATTCAGTGGGTAAATGATTTTAAAGGCAAATTCGAGTGGCTAAATAATTTTCACACTGCTCTTGATGCCTTAGACAGGTAAAACCTTGTTTAATGAGAAATTGTATATTCCTTGACAATCATATTAATAAAATTATTTTCACATTTTAGTAAAAGCGGATGGATACTGTTAAAGGCATCGATCGATCTAAGGAAAAAACTACAACCGCTTATTATAAACGGTGGAGCAAGAGATTATTGCTTATTTTTTTAATTTTGGATTATCAATGTGGAACAATAGAAACTTTTTTAAGACGGTTTGTGACAAACAAAAAACTGATTCATATACTTATTGTAGATTTAGTTTATTATGTCAATTATATTCATCAAGAATTGTACATTGTAAATTTCTTCATATCAAAACCGATTTCAATAAATTTGATATCGTGTATCATAAAAATTTCAAATTTCACGATTCATGTCGTAATACGTATAATGATTTATCAGCTTTCAAATACTTAACAGATAATATCCATTCACAATGCTTTTACATCCAGTATTTATTTCTGTTTTCAATTAATCCCGTTCTCCTATAAGAATAATCGTTGATAAATAGATTTTTGTGACCTGCTATATGTTACAATTCCAAAGTATGAATAAAACATAACAATAGAAACAAATCTTATATTAAGCTTATAATAAGTTCTTTAAAACTTATCAATTGTTATTACCTTTAGTATAAATTTTATATTAATGAATTAGGTCATATTTTAAAATAAATTATTAAAAAATTAATACTTTTATAATAAATTTTATGGTGATTTCTAAGTAAAAATTAAAAAAAAAAATTGCAATTAACTAGTGATTTTTTAAAGATAAATAAATAAATTATTATAAAAAAAATTAAAAATTTAAACTCATATATCTTGCTATTTATCAATCTCAGAAATATAAAAAATACTACCATTTAATAGATCTTAATGTAATGAATCCAATAAACTAAATTTATATTTTTGTAATTATTAAATAATAAATTATTTTAAAATTAAAAAATTAAAAAATTAATATATATTAATAATTATGAATTTAAAAGTTTAAAATACTACTATTAAATACATCATAATATGATAAATCTAAAAATTTTATTTTATTTTTTTATAATCCAAAATATTTTAAGTTTTTTAAAATGTTTTGGAAACAAAATTTATATTTACAGTTTAAGGAATATACTTTTTATTAATATATATAAATTAAATTTTAAATAAATACTAATTAAATCTTACAAATATTAGTAAAATTCATTTATTCTTTGTAATATATAATTTGCATAATATAAATTAAAATAATAACTATATATATATTTTTTTAAATTTAAAATAAAAATATTTAATATTTAATATTACTTATAAAATATAATATAATATTCAAATTATTATTAAAAATTTTATAAGCTTTAATTTAATTAAAGACAATTTTTGATTAAATAAATAGTTAATATATTAATATTAATAAAAAGGATTTATTTAAGTTTAAATAAATTTTATATAATTAAAAATAATTAAATATATTTTATTATTTAAAAATTGTTATTAAATCTGAAATATAAATAATAATTTTTATTTAATTATGTAATTTCACATTAGCATATTTGTTAAATAATTATAAAAAAATAAATAATTTAATATTAGGATAATTATATCATAAAATTATATAATTTATAATATACTATATATTAAATTTAATAATAAAAATCAATAAATTTAATTTATAATATTAAAAAAGCTATTTTAATTTTAATAAAGAAATTTTTATATTAAATAATAATATTTTTTTAATTAATATTCTTTTAAGTATATTGCAAACAAATTTGCCTATAATTTTATTTAATAATTAAAATTATTTTTAAAATAATTTATTTAAAAATTAATTTTTTTATAATAAATTTTATAATATTTTCTAAATAAAAATTCAAAAAAAAGTAATTAATTGGTAATATTTTAAAGATAAATATATAATAAATTATTACAAAAAAAAATTGATTTTTAAACTTATATTTTGTTATCTATTAATTTCAAAAATATAAAATAATTTAATAAAATGAATTCAATAAATTAAATTTTATTTTTGTAATTATTAGATAATAAATTATTTTAAAAAATTAAAAAATTAAAAAATTAATATTTATTAATAATTACTAATTTTAAAAATTTATAAATACCATATGTTACTATATATAGTATCCCCTAAAAATAATACTCCTGTGATTAATATCTAGATACTAAAGATGACACTATAACTAGTTATAGCCATATGATGCTTATTTGTTATAAGGTTACAATTAATTGTGATATTAATAAAATTAAGTTGCAACTAGTTATAACCCTGTGATAAATAAGCATCACATAGTTGCAATTAATTGCAGCACCATTTTTACTAGATACTATTTACTATCTATATTAATCTAATTACAAATAGTATCCAGATACTTTTTAAAACTAAACTTTGTGAAAAATGATTAATACCTGAATATAATTATAATGCATTCTTAAAATTTGTAAAGGTTGATTTTATAGAATTTATAAAATGGTTCATTTTTATAATTCATTATAACGTTAATGAATTTTCTTATAATAAATGTTTGATCAGTCTAAACATCAAATTTGATATGATAGATAATTACTAATTTCATTATATAAATATAATTTTACTATGATATAATTTTTTCAGAAATATTTTTACATTTTATTTTAATATGCAATCTGTTAATCATTGTACATCAGTTTTATTAATTTACTTAAATTTTTTTTTAAAAAAAATTTAATTTATTATTTTTTTTAAAATAAAATAAAAATAAAATAAAAAAAATAAAAATGAAATGAAAAGAAAATGAAACAAGACAAAAAAATGAAATTAAGAAAATTAAATGAGATAAAAAATAAAATTAAGAAACTAAAATGAATCTATAAATAAAATTAAGTAAATGAAATAAGACAAAAAAAATGAAATTAAATAAATAAAAAAAAACCATAAAATGAAAAAATGAAATTAGAAAAATGAAACGAAATAGAAAAATAAAATTAAATGTATGATATAAAAAGAAAAAATTAAATTAAATGAACAATACAAAAAAACAAAATTAAACAAACAATATGAAAAAAATGAAATTTTTATTACCTTGCAAGTCTTGCTAATACATCACGATTTTACTATCTATTTTAATTTTACCTCACAGATATATCACAGTTTTGCCTTATATTTCGTATTTACCTCATAGTAAGTAAATTACAATTTCTCCTTTGAATATGCCTCAATTCTAAAAAAGTAAATATATTTAATATAAATCTAAAAAATTATTTAAACATTTTTAATTATTATCTGGCCTATTCTAAAATCAAGTCCTGAAGAGGTTATATAATCTTTCTGCAGTATAATCCACCTTCCACCTCTTTTCACTCTATTTTAATAATCATAAAAGTCTTAAAGATATTAATTATATTGTTAAGTTATATTTATTATTATATTATTATTCATTTATTTACTTACGTTATAATTCTATACTAAAATTCCTCCATTTTAACTCACATTAGCAAGTTGAATATGTAGTATTATATTTTTGATTAATTCATCGAACTACACTTCTCTAGAACTTGTTTATTTCTTCTATATCTAATATGGTATTTTTTATTTCTCCTTCTTCTTTTTTTGACTAATAAATCGTTTCGTTATCTTCTCAAATTATTCTTGTAATCATTTACGTTTAATTTAAAAAAAAATTTAAAGAAGTAAATTAAAGTGATTTAAAGATGAATTTAAATTTCAAAAGGTGAAAATTATACGATGGTAAAAATATTTCCTTTTATAAATAAATTTATCCATTTGATTTAATATCTTGTAAAATTCTTTACTCATAATTAAAATAATATAATCTTAATTGAAATTCTAATTTGTATTAAAAACAAAAAGTCAAAATAATAATTTAAGTATCATATTATAATTGTGCATCATATTATTTATAAAAATTAGATCAATTTAAATATAACAAGCAAAACTCATAATTGAAATAATACAATAAGAACTTATTGTGATTGAAATTCTGATTTGTATTAAAAACAAAAAGTTAAAATAATAATATATCATATTATTTATAAAATTAGATCAATCTAAAAATAACTTACGCAAATTAATAAATATAATACATTAGATAATCAGAGTAGATTAATAATAACAAATTATTACATCAGTGATAAATAAAAATTATTATAAAATTATTTGTCACAATTTAATAAAAAATTAATAAGTAATTTCAATACAAGTTCAACAAAAAATTAGTCAAAAATTAATAAAAACAAAATGATTATTCAATATAATTTCAACAAAATTTTAATACATCATAGGGGGTATTATTTAATCAATATAGTATTATCATCACACTATTCACACTATTATTATCTCACACTATTTTATGTAAAAAAAAATTAAATTAGTAACATAAAATCAAACTACATGCAATATGTAAAAATAACAAATTATATATAGAATGCAAATCTTATAAAATGCAAGATCGCATTTAATTTTTTTAATAAAACCCACAATTTTGAAGATAGGTTTATTTATTTAATTGATATTCATAATATTTATAATATTAAGTTGTTAACCCTAAATATTAACATAATTTCTAATTTCATTTTCATAATATTTGCATTCTGAAATATTTTCATTATTTCTTCTTGACTTTCTCCTTCTACTTTTTCCTTTTCTTTAATACTAATATTTCTGTTATTTTTATCTAATACTTTTATCTACTGCTGTAAAAATCCCATAATACTTGAAAGATCGTTATATTATTGCAGGATCAATATTGTCCCATGTCCATTTGATCTAAGTTGCTACTAACAAATATGATGACTGTTTAATTTTACCTACTGGTGTATATTCCTTTATAACCTTATCTATCTATCAATTGTAAGCATGACAAACCTGTAATAAATTTAAAAATTAATAAAAAATTCTTTATATTTATATAGGTTAAGTAAATCAATACTAAACTAATCTTTACTTTAAATGATTTATTTAAAGATATATTTAATGGTTATAAATGTGAAATCAGCCTATCTAATATAATAGCAATATCTGTATTCTTTTAATTAAACTGACATTTTACTGAATCTGTTTTATGAATACTAAATGAATTAAAAATAAAAAGATATTGTAGATTTGAATTCAAATTAACCTATTTATATCATATATTTTTCACCTATTAAAGCATTTCTTTCT